CTTGTTACAAAAGATTCCCCTTTCCCTATTTCCTAAACTGCCCCCGAATGCCCTGTTAATTTACTCTAGGAAACCAACTGGGTCAGACTGGCACGATACTTAAACCAAATTTTGGGCTAAATTCTGACCCAATGATCCAAATCAACCCTTTTGGGGTGAAGTTTGCAATGGATTCAAAGCCCAAAGTAAATCAAATCAGTCAACAAATAGAAGACAAACACTTGAAAGATTTCAATAATTAAAACCTACATTAGTCAACTGATCATTATACGCAAATAAGAAAAAAATTTGCCAAATCATTAAAATAACCCTAATTTAACTAGGCGGCTAAATGGGAGATATGAAGAAGAGAAGGACAATGAACAGAAGACCAATTCAAACTCGAAAGATTAATCGAGTTTCAGCCGGACTAGACTAAGCTAAAGAATAAACGGAAAGGAGGAAGAGAACAAGACAGCAAAAAAAGAAAAGAAAAGAAGGCAAGAGAAGAAAGGAGCTTACCGATTCAGACTCGAAATCCATCGGAGACAAAATCCCTAACAAAGCTAAGGTCAATCGTTTGAATCCAAACTTCAAGACTCGACGAACAGTGCTTTAGGACCATGCATGTACCAGGTCCGATAAAGAAATAATTTTTGGACATCAGGGGTCGATCTCAGATTTAAGATTCGAGCAACTCCGACAATGTTCAAGGGAAACAGAGTGAGGATTTGGCATGACGGAGNGGGTCAAGGCATGGGTTTGGGCCGGGTATTGGATGATTATTATTTGGGCTGGGGCAATTAAATTTGGTTTGAGCCCAGATTTGGATTTCTTTCATTCTTTCTTTTCCTTTTTCAATTTCATAATTCCTTTTTTTTAAAAATAAAATAAACCTCAAATTAATTAATAATAATTTTTAACTAAATTAACCTACCCAATTAGGTTAATCACTCATCATGGTATTGACAATAATTAATTAAATCCTAAATTTAAAGAAAAATTACACAATTCAAAATTAAAAAGTAAAAATGCAAAATGAATTATTTTTATGATTTATTTTTTTTATAAAACAAACTAATTTGCTAATTGCTCTAAAAATATAAAATTAAATTCTAAATGCAGATGCAACATATTTTTTGTATTTTTCACGAATTAAAAATAAACGTGAACAAACAAATGCAAATAATTAATAGAAAATGTCACGAAATCCAACAAAATTGCAGACACTGAAAGAAATTGCAGACACTAGGAGATATTCATACAAAGGCTTTTGGCAAAGACCAGTTCCAGTTTTTTCGAGACAAGCTAGGTGTAGTGAAGTCACCTCCCACTAGCTTGAAGGGAAGTGTTGAAGATAATGATCAGGCTAACAAACCTGATAACTATGCTATCACTTAGTCCTAGTTTAGAAGAATTAGGATTCTTTATATTAGCTATCCTAGAATAGTCCTACTCTATGTAGTATAGCCAAAATATAGGATAAAAATAATGTATAAATACATAGGACTCATGTAACGAAGATATATCAATACACTGCCTTCTTGACATTGTCTCCGCACCATATTTTCACACCAACTAGGTCCTTTGTTAATAGGGTGTTTGCTATTAATATATATACCTTTTCTTAAATTTTCAATATAACTGTATATATTCCGTGTCGAGGTTAATGGGTGCTCAGGCACCTAATTTTTATATGTTAATCCGCCTCTCACTTACCTGTACCGAGTATTTGGACCAAGCTTATAAAAATATGACATGTGTTTCCACATTCAATTAGTGTAATCTTCACATTTGTACAACGTATAACATCAATTAATGTGATCTTCACATTTTTATTTGAATTATTTTCCATGGCAAGAATTTGTGCGTTATTCTTTTGTCTTGTTTAGTGATCGTGTAGAGGATGCGATTGGTATTTGGTCCCCATTTGAACCTATTATTAAAGAACAATGTGTTCTTATGTAGTATAGGCTCTAAGTCTTTTCTATTTGTCCACTCTAGAAACCATCAATTAGATCATAGGCGAAGGGAGCTTTGGAGTAATGGTAAAGTTGTCTCTGTGTGATATGAAAGAGAGTTTTGAAGCAACGGTGAAATTATCTTCGTGTGACCTATAGATCACGAGTTCAAACCGTGGAATCACACACTAATCCTTCCACTAAGGTAAGGATGCAAAGTTTAACAAAAATGGAAAAAAATTGACACATGTAAATATGAATAAAATACCGAACTACCCATGTAATACACAATATTTTTTTGTCTTAAGTGGATTTGTGACGCAATTGACAAAAAACAGTTCAGATTGCAAATAGTATTTCTTTTAAAGGAAAAGTAGATTCTTTCATATATAAATATATAAACATGAGAAGTAATAACAGAATTATGATTCAGTTGTTCATTTGTCAATTTGAAGCCTTGTTATAAATACCAAAATGACTTTGTCCATATATAGCCGACCCCTACGGATGCAAAAGGAAAATGTTGTGCATTAGTCATATATAAAAACTGTCTCATTTATATTTTATTAAATAAGGATGTTGATATATAATCCACGTGGTTAGCGTCCCACGTTATAAATGTATTGAGATATGAAGATATATTATAAGTACTAAATTAATTCTAGGAATTTTTAAGCAGTAGTATAAACAACATATTGTCCTATGTCTAGATGGTCAAACTTATATAATTCGAAAACTATAATTTGATTTAAAAAAAAAATAATTATGATTAACTGGTTTTTATGATAGGTGCATCACATGACATTTCATGATTAAATAATATTTCACTCCGATTGATGCCTCCAATTCTCTTGCTCCTACTAAACTTAGCTTTAGTAAAACTGGCTAGCGGCACTAGGTGGACGGTCTATCCGGCCTTAAGTAGTATTACCGGTCATTCTAGAAGAGCAATTAATTTAGCAATTTTTAGTCTTCATCTATCTGGTGTCTCATTCATTTTAGGTTCTATTAATTTTGTAACAACTGTTTTCAATATGCGTGGACCTAGAATGACTATGCATAGTATCACACCTCCTTTTTTACTATCCCGAAAGGGAGTATAAGGGAGTTTTTTCCAACTTAAAGTGACAATGATCGAAACGGGATTATTTATTCAAATTCAGAGTCGCCACTTGGGATAATTTGTGGTGTCCCAAGTCACCGGTTTAAAATCCCGAATCGAGGAAGGTCGCTCTTATTTATGGTCTGCGGACACAGAAATCCGGGTAAGGAATTCTGTTAACCTGGGAGAAGGTATTAGGCATTCCCGAGTTCCGTGGTTTTAGCACGGTCGCTCAACTATTATTATCGGCCTATTTATTTGATTTTAAAACACTTTTGAACCTATGTGCATTTTAACTTTTGAAATTGCTTTTACTATTTGATGAAATCTCAAGGTTATTTAAAACAAATCGTAAGCCACGCTACATGAAATGCACCCGCAGTTCATGACACACTTTATTTAACCTTGTTGGAAATTAGAATCGGGTCACATGAAATGCAACCCCAGATTTTAGTTTGAACAAGTCGCGATGACGCGCGCTCGTATGTTTTGTACACATTGAGAATCGCGTCAAAATTCTAAATAATTGGAGTCTATTCGGATAGCTGATTTTTCTTTAGGATTTATATTCTAAATAAATTGATTTAAAAAGTTTAGAGAACAAAAATTGAGGTCTGGATAGTAAGATCATGGGGAATACCAATCAAATTGTTTTACTTCCATCCCAACAACTGAAAACCAACAACTAAGTAATTACAAAAAAAGTTATCTTTATTCATCAAACGGTTGAACAATTAATGGATTGGGAAAAGTATTCAACTTTATTGACTTCCATTCCAATAACTTTAAAAACCAACAATTTAGTAACAAAAATTTACTTCGTTAGCTTCAGTACTTTGAGAAAAATTAATGATTAACACTCAAAAGCAGATTACTGCAACATCACAAGTTCAAACCGCAATTATTTTATCAAACCAACGAATCACTGCCAAGAAGCAACAACCAACCTTTCGTAAGTGTCACGAGAGTAACCAATTCTCAAACATTAGAAAAGTGATCAATCGCATAATAGTAGAGCAGGTGGAACACAAAATTGTCATGTATCTCAACAAAATATAGATCCATTTATACACTGAACAAGCAGGTAGACAGTTCCAACGGTCCAAATACGACTTCAGTTCTTCAACAATACAATTACTAATACTAAAAAATCATAAGAAGATCAAAGGGGTAAAAATTATAAATACCTCGACGGCGACCTCGACGGATGCCTCAGATTTCGGTGTAGATCAGAATAGTGTCTATGTACAAAATTGAAGAATGGCCATATCAGTTTTTGTTCTTCAGAAAAGCTTATATTCTTTGTCGTATGTGTGTTTTGAGAATTCAAGAATGGCCATCTCGATTTTTGGGTCTCCTTTTGGTCTTGTGTACGAGAAAATCAAAATGGCTAAAAAACTTTAGCTGCTGAAACGGATGGTGTTCTTTTTTTCCATTTTTGGAATCGCCGCTCCTCCTCCTCTCTTTTTTTAGCTTATTAGGTGTTAAGTCTATATATCTAGGTCCTAGAGTCTAGGTTTATATTTTGTGTATTTGCTCTTAGGTCCTTAGAGTTTTTTATTTATTTTTGTTTCAAAGAAGAGTCGAGAAGGGTCCATAGGATTAGCTTATGGGTATTGGATATTGAGCTTAAGGAATGGTGTGACGACCCGACCAGTCGTCTCATGAGTTACCGCTTTATTTCCCCCATTTCAGCTTCTTTACGCTTTGTTATCCGTGTTTTATGGGATCGAGATGATTAGTTCGAGTTCGGAGAGGACTTGGTAAGAAATGAGACACTAAGTCTCTTTTAAGAAGGCTTAAGTTGGAAATGTCAACCGGATGTTGACTTATGTGTTAGAGGGTTCGGATGTGAATCGCGATGGTTCGGTTAGCTTCGGGAGGTGATTTGTGACTTAGGAGAGTGATCGGAAGTGGTTTTGGAGGTACGGTGTAGAATTAGGCCTGAATTAGCGAAGTTAGTATTTTGGCGAATTCCGGTTGATAGGTGAGATTTTGATTCGAGGGTCGGAATGGAATTCCGAGAATTTCTGTAGTTTCGTTATGTCATTTTGGACTTGTCTGCAAAATTTGAGGTCATTCGGACGTGGTTTGGTTGGGTTTTGATCAAAAATGGAATTTGGAAGTTCTTGAGATTCATAGGGTTGAATTCGATGTGATTTGATGATTTTGGTGTTAGTCGAAGTGTTTTAATGATTGAAACGAGGTTGAATAATATTTAGGATGCGTTGATGCTTTTGGTTGAGGTCCCGGGGGCCTCGGGTGTGTTTCGGGTGAGTTTTGAGCGAGTACGGACACCCCGGAACTTAGAAAAATGGAGGGAGCAACAGTTTTTGACTGCGGCCGCGGCCGTGAAGACTGCAGGTTGCTGGTCCTACTTTAGAAGCTCATATCTTTTGCTCCACAAGGAAGTTAGAGGTGATTCAAAAATGACAGTTGTAGCCGTTCGTGTCTAGTTTCCAGAAAGGTAAAGATATCACAATTTGGACATCTGTAGCAAAAGTTATGGTCAAAATACTAAAGCCTGTCCCTGCAGAGCAAGACCTGCGCGGCCGCGGTCGTTTTTACGCGGACCCCGCTGGTTTTGCGCGGACCGTGGTCATTTTTGTGCGGTCAGCGGTGTCGGAATCCGAGGGGTACTCTATAAATACGAGGTTTTGGGTTTTTATTTGATATTTTGACCTAGAGAGCTCGGATTTTGGCGATTTTTCGAAGGTTTTTCAAGAAATTGGTCGGGGTAAGTGATTCTAACTTAGATTTGGTTAAAGTACATGAATCTATCACTGAATTCATCATTTAATTCGTGATTTGAGATGGAATTTGGGAAGAAAATTGTGGAACCTTTCAAAAATGTAAAATGATGAGTTGAAGGACCAAATGGTATCGGAATTGGATAATTTTGATATGGTTAGACTCGTGAGGGTATGTGGATTCTGAAAATGTAAATTTTACCTGATTCCGAGATGTGATCCCGGGGCTCGGGTTTTGCTAATTTTGAGATTTTTGATATTTTTCGAATGTTTTGCTTGAGCTTTGTTCCCTTAGCATATTATGACGTATTCGTTCCGATTTTGGATAGATTCGACGTGCGTGGAGGCCAATTCAAGGGGAAAAGGCGTCGTGAGCTAGAGAATTAGCCAGTTCGAGGTAAGTAATGGTTGTAAATGATGTCCTGAGGGTTTGAAACCCCGGACTTGCACATTGTAGTGCTATATTGAGGCAAGATACGCGCTGGATAATGAGCGTGGGGTCTTTCACTACTGGGGATTTTGACTTGGTCCATCCCGATTGATGATTTTACCGAATATTTGACTGAAATTCATTTGTTATCATCATGATTTGGGCTGATTGCCATATTTGGGCTTCGTGCCAATTATTTGAACCCTTCAGGGATTTTTATCACTGTTTCTTCACTACATGACTTATTATTTGAACTCAGTCCTGTTGATATCTACTGTTTTACAAACTCAGCCACTTTTACTCAGATTTGAAACTTAAATGATATTTCTACATCATGTTTTGGGCTG